AAATTTCACTCCAACACTGAAACAGAATACCTGTGGCAGATGCTGTTGTAGGGAAACATTTTATTTACACCTCATGGGCCAACTAGAACTGCCCAAGAAAACGTGTAACTATAAAATGTATGCATTCAAATTATAAAAAAAATTGCTGGAGATGGAGAAACTGCTTTATAAGTAATAAACAAGTGAAAAAGACTTCTTGCCCATCTACGGGCAATCAGGACGCATATAACCATGTATTTGTGCAAATTCGAAAAGCTCTAGAAAAAGAATAAAAAATTGAAACTACCCACACTTTTTGTGAAGAATCCGAATCACGGAACTGAATCTTGCCCATTGCTCAGTAGAAGAGCTTTAGCGAACGATTTCGGAACTGCGGCTGCACAACACTGGTGGCTATTGCATCAGATTGCGCAAAGAGTTTCGAAAATCGGCCAACGACAACCGATGAAGGACACAATTTTTAAAGCGTCCTGGACCGGGAACCACGGAGGCCGTGCGTAATTTCCCTTGAAAAGGAGGAGTGAGAAATATCATCAGGATTTATGTTTTTTTTATCTACTCTTTTTTCGGCTCCTTTTTTGCGTACATAAATATCTTACAAATGCGCTTTTTTCTGGTAGTCTTTTCGAGAAATCCAATACGGTCCAAAGGTAATTTTCTCCCAAGCTCTTGCGCGAAATTATATCGACTTCTGAGAAAGTGTCACATGTCCAAGACCAAACAACACTCATGGAAAGTTTAATATGCACTCTTCCATTCATTCATAGCTGGGCGCCCATGGCCTCAGGAGGGACATTCAAAACAGGCCTTTTGAAACCGTTGGTAGGTGAGACTAAGACTGAGCCCAGGGCAGGGGAGTCTATGTAGTACAAAGGTTGCTCATGTCCTCCTCCAGAATCGGAATTCATTTCTTTCCTTAAGGTCTGGTCCGAATTCCTCTGAGGGCTCCCCCCCCTCAACGTACCCCCCCCCCCCCCCCCATCTAACGACATCAACGCCCATGATGTAAAACAATAAGTATTCAACGCTCTAATATGAATGAAAAACAGATGTGTTTTCATCCTGTTCTTTCACTCGAAGGTTTAAGGGTGGTAAATTGCCGACTTGAGACGTTTGGTGTGTTCACACGGTTCAACAGCCTACCATTTGGTGCGCTAAACGTTCAAACTGTTCTTTGACGAGCATGCTCGTCGCGAATATGGAAAAATGATCACTAAAAACCGTCAACACCAAGTTTAGCAACAAAAAACTAACTATGAAGAGGATAGTGTTATGCATTCTTTTCAGGAGACTTGAAAATTCCACAATAGGGCGCGTCTGTGGCCGTGACTGTGATTGTCATTTCAGATATGTCGTTAACTGAATCATTAATTTATGATTATGAGAACTGATGGAACAACTATTCGAACCATGCTCTTCCTAGCATGTATCAAGATGCTCTCTCCTACAGACTGTATAATTCATATTCTATAAAAATGCTATGCCAAATAAGTCAAGTCTCTCTCGCTCGTCGCTTGTAACAGTTGGATGGTGTAATTTTCTTACGCGATTATTTTATGACGCCTAACTGAAAAATTTCACGAAAAGTCCGTAAAAACGATGGAAAACATCGAAGTACTGGAATATATTTCAACAAGGACAATTGAGAATGATGCCATAACCGGAAAACTATGTGTTCTTCCTTTAACACATTGACGACCGCGCGCGTTTTGGCTTTTTTGGCCGTGTGGGACCGGGCCGATTTTGCGAGTGCGACCGCCGCACCTCGGATCCGTGAATTTTTATTGATAACTTTTTAAAGCACCAGTGGTACAAAAACATCTCAGTAACAGTCAATGCGTAGAAGGTAATAGAGTATATAGTGACGAAGTTCCGATTAAAGAACATGTAATGGTAATGAAAAAGGAAACTTTAGTCATTTTATCTGTAGTGGATGCCAAAAGCTCTTTTGATGTGGTTATACCAAGTGAAACATGTATTTTTCTGTCTCTTTAGATTTGCATTTACTTTCACTACCCTTTTTTATTGACGTGTTCATGAGAATAGCATGAAAACTATTAATGAACCAAGCCGCCGGTTTCGGTGAGCTTGGAAAACTTCTTCTAAACTGGAGCATATTTGAACAAACAATGACCTATGTCGTTCACAATAATGTTATGTTCTAATCCATAGAAGAGAGACAAACAATTCGGGAAAAAGCTGCGCATGCCCTAGAAAAAGGGATGATAAGGGTGAGACGCGGTAACGCGTCTCAATGTCCAACGAGGTGCGCAAAGTGAGACGCGTTACCGCGTCTCAATGTCGTCAATGTGTTAAAATGAATTCGCCGGACTAGGACATGCTCTGGAACAGAAATTTTCAACAGATTACAGAGACATTGGACTTCTTGAGCACAAAAAACTCGACAACTGTGTGAGGAATGACCCCATGTTCCTGTGGAAGATGCATTGTTTTTGAAAACAATTGGCTGGGACGTATCAAGCAATGCAGCGCATGCCAATTAAGTTGAGTCAGCCCACAAGGCACTGTCATATCTCTCTCTGTGGTGGTGATTTTTCGAGACCAATATCGAAAGCATTTGTTATGAGCAAACTTTCTGAATTCTTTGTGTTGGTTCTAATAGCGACTGACTGAGGAAGATTTGGTCGATGACATTTGCTCTACTGTAGGGTTCTTCTGATGTGAGTTTGTTATTATAAGACGTTGTGACAAATATTTTTATTACTGAATTTTGGAATAGAGTAAGCTTACATTCCATACTACTTCTTCCTTTCCAGAATTGTGCTGGTCTTCTACTGAGCGAAAATCAGCGATCTCATTTTCTTAGACAGATCGCAAATCCTGATTTAAATTACCCACAACGGAAAACTCTCCATAGGAGCATCGTTGCGGCATGCAAGAAAACGAACTTTTGTCTTAGATGTGGACAGAAAAGTGGTATGACTTATTAGTGTTGCTTCCAGAGCTATTTTTAATAATTTTCATATCAAGCCTCCATTTCAGAAGGCAGAGGAGATCTGGTAGGCCACGTTACCGGTATGGCAGGGGTGAAGATTAATAGTTAAATTAAATTGCCACTTTAATCCCATAGTATGCGAATGACAGGTAAAAAGTTCTTCTCTCCTTGAGAACACTTTCATAACAAAGAGAGAAGAATTTTTCATTTGTCACTCGCACACCTGTGGGATTAAAATGGCAACTTAGTTTACCTATTAGCCTTCACCCCAGCCATGCCGGTAACGTGATCTTCGAAATATGCTCTGCCTTTCGAAATGGATGCTTGATATTTGGTTGGGAGTGTTCAAAGCGATTGTTCATTGTTTACGTGTTTGGATATAATCCAATAATATCCAAAAACTACTTCCCAAAGTCATCTAATTAAGGAATTGTACGGAAGGCTCCAGGATCACTACTAAAAATTGCATATGGATGCGAGATACCTGAATCCGAGGTAAGTATGTCCATATTTTTTTCCGCAATATCATCTGATTCTTTGACATCGGCGGACAGGTGACTTGCTGCTATTCCTCAAAAGTTATTGAAAGCTTTAGTAGCAGTACCCATGTTCGGCCTTCGCTCATGGTTCACTTTTCCTAGGAGATCTAGATCTTCTCATTTGATTGCCGTTCAGTATTTCCAACCTCGTCTTTTCATTTTATCAAATTTTCTATGCCGTATTCAGTTGTTACAACCTATAATTTCCAAGAAGAAATCGTCGAATCGTGCCGATTTGTAGTTCCGATCGAATTTGGTATAAAATGTATGGTGCTTTTGTCGGGAATTAATGCCTTTTCGTGAATTGAGCACTGAATAAAGTCCGCCGACGGCGTTTCAGAGGTTCAAGATTTTTTATGTTGATTTTTGAGGTTATATTATATAGCTGAACAGTACCGGCTTTCTCGAACACCCTCAGTGCTCCATTTACGAATGCAATCGATCCAGATTGTTTTTTTGGCATTCATAAACACACAATGAGCAGTGAAGAGAGATTCTCGCCAGATTCACAGTTTCTCCAACGTTGGTACAGCTCACTGCCGACTATTGCAGCTTGCTGTCGCCGCTTTGGATTTTCAGAATCCTGTAATTGACAGAGGCTAATGAAAGAAGGTTAGGCATCGTTTGAAGTGGGCCCAACATTTGGGAATTGAAGAATCCGCGGAGGTACAGCTACACATGAGCTGATCGGAAAATTCGGAGATATTAAGAATCGCGGAAGCGGACTGCGAAGTAGCTTGGATTTATTGAATACGAATATAAGAAAGCTGAAGAATCGTTTCCCGATTCTTTGAATTCCTCGTATAACTTCGTATAATGTATGCTTAATGTAACCTAGCCTACCTTTTCACTGACTTTGAAACACTGTGATGTGTTACCTTTCTTCTCTTCTCGAGTCGCAGGCGACTTCAGGATAGAACTTCGACATTCGTCTCTGAGTTGTTGTAAAATGGAACTTGTTCTGGCAGCTAAAAACCGACTATTTCGTGATGAGCCAACCCACCTTTTCAGATGTCCGAGTACTCTGCTGTCATGGAGGCTAATTCAACAATTCGCGATTCTCTCCACAGCACAAAGTTCACTCTTTTGAATCCGTTACGAGTTCAGAAGTTCTGTTTATGTAATAGTAAGGAAGATGTATAATGGTTCCCACTTTTTTCCATAACTTCTTTTACTGAACGTGATATTTATGTGAATCCAAGATGTACCTCAGGATATTCCAATTTTATTGCTACGCTCAGGGGAGGCTAAGCACCCTAATGACTTACTCGTATAAACAAAGATTCCTGTCCATCCCGGCTAATGTATTCGACCCATCAGTACCGTCAGGTAGACTTACAATAGTATTGCTATCCCATTCTCATTCTAAAGTTATTTTTACTTATACTCTGAACATATATTTCAGAAACGGGAAGTGGATCAACCGAAGACGATTTGACAGTGAAACTTGCTGAAATTATTCTATCAATAATGTGCTGCAAAAGCACAAAGAAGGCGGTGCACCTATGAAAACAGTTATGGAAACATGGGATCACTTACAGGTAGTTTTTACATTTAAACTCATGTATGGAAGTTTATGGCAGGAGACGTTCTGCAGATACAAGTTGCACTATACTTCAACGGGGAACTGCCGGCTTTTGCCACCAGAACTGCGGCAAAAGAAGGTTGTCAATCGTTTATTTGGCTATTTCTTCATTTTTCTTGATCGAGATAGTGATAGCTTCGTTCCGGTACACGCTTAATTTCCTTGCGACTTACACTGCGACGCATAATTATAGTTCCACCTACAATTTCAGTACCCGGCTGGATATCATTTTCTCACGATACGGCGCTTATCTCAGTCGGATAGTAATCAGGGTTCCTCCCAGTCATATCCTGTAGCATCCTTGAGAAATTTGTTCGTTATGAAGTCACCCCGACAAATTCCAGCGGAGCTGACACTTTGACAATTCCTGCGTCTCTTTTGCTAGGATTTCCCTTTTACGGAAGTGTGACAGCGGTTTTGCCTTTGCTATAAGCTAAGGAACTTGAATGGGATAATAATTCCAAATTTTGATTGGGTAAAAGCAAAATGCAGCGGAGAAGCTAAAGCGGATATTTTCGAAAAAATAAGGATAAAAATTGTTGCTTTCTCAAATTGGCTTCGTGTTAATATTCAGATTCGCGTTTATACGTGTCACCTTATAGAGGCCCTTTCAAGAACTCCCAGATTCAAGTTTTGGGAATTTTTGTAGGTGGAACTATAATTATGCGTCGCAGTGTATATATTATTTACTGCCTATGTATTGCCGTATGTTTTGAGCACATTCTGTAAAGCGCTTTAAGACACCAGCGGCGCCTCCGTCTGCGCTTGAGTTAGTGCGTTTGAGGATAATCTGGCAGTAGCTGTGAGTGTGTACAGTACTGTAAAGTAAGGTTCATTACCAAAAAATGTATAGGTCTTTTCATTGTATTTTGACATTCTCTGTCTATATGACAGCAAATCACCATAATGTCCTCAGCAATGATAGAATCCTAGAGAGCGATCGGTCTCAAATAAACTCATTTAGTGTGAACGCGTGCTGACCGCACAGAACTGCAGCACGGATTTTTCCTTTAATATGGGGTAATCGTGTTTTCAGCCATTCCGTGGTCTGTACCAACGTCTGAAGGGTAAGCATGGTCGTTTCCCGCGTGGAATTTATCAGGAAAACGTGTGGACTACACCGCCAGGACGGTAGGGTTTTTGAGTTCAAGAGCTCTTGAAGTTTGAACTTTATTTTCATTTTTAAGTTGTCCAGGTGTGAGAGGCCCTCACATTCACATACTGATGGCTCCATTCCGTCCTCATTGGTTGGAGGGCGTTGTAGGGTGATCCCGAACACCATCAGAGGGCAATTTATTCAAAGTTCAGCTAGCAAAGATCTTCATTGCAACAATTGTGCACCACAGCAGCGTAATGACGAAGCTTATAATAAAGTGTTTGAAGGTGATATCGCCAGATCCGAATTTGAGGATCGATGAGGTTGGTGTACCACTTGAGGTGGCGCTCACTCTGACATATCCAGAAATCGTTAACGAATATAATATTACGCGCATGAAGAAGCTCATTATTTCTGGACCGGATACTCATCCTGGTGCTAATTACGTCGTCGACCACGTTTCTGGAGTAAGGCGATTACTCAAGTTAGTTTCATTTTTGATACTTTGGTGGTGATCACCTATGGGAGTGAGGCATCCTTTCAAAGGCTATACATAGGAGCAGGAACTCGTGCAGAACTTAGTTTTTACTTTCTTGCCTCAGGTTATACATCGACTGCAGCTCGTTCCGATTTCAGGCCACACTTTTTAGACCGCATGAGACGGCGTGATACGGCCCCGAGTCACGCCCATGGAATACATCTTTCTGCGCTGCACTACGTTCGAGCCAGAAAGCACACTCATTGTAAGGCTGGTGTCAGAGTCCGCGATCCGTCGCAGGTTTCGCTGATTTTTTCGCGATTTGCGCGATTTGCGCGACGGGTCACGGAAATCACAAGTGCCCCATCAATACTGCAAGGTGTTCTCCAATCCCGCCGCCACTTCTGCTTGATAGTGATGGCTGAATGACGACTGCCCTCATGATTCCACTTGTTTGATATTATAGAATCTAGAATTATAGGATAGAATAGGAACGAATCATGAGCATTTCAATGAACTGATAGACATTGAACATGAAACAAGTAGAACCACAAACATTCGTCTTTCCAATCTTTACTGCCAAGCAGAATTCGCAGCAGGATTAAACAACACCTCGCAGTATTCATCGGGCACTTCCAACTCCTGTGATCCATCGCAGGTTTCGCGCAAATCGCGAAAATCGCTGAAATCAGCGAAACCTGCGACGGATCGCGGACTCTGACACCAGCCTTAAACGGCCTTATCCAATGTCGAATCACGGCCTGCAGCGCTCGTGGGTCTGCGTCCGTTCCATGCGGTCAAGAAAAGCAGCCAGAAAGGCAAGAACGTGCTATCGTCAATGTGTTAGTACTTTCAATGAATGCGATGAACAGTTCAATAGAGGGGAAATGTTTATACAGAAACACCCTATAACGAAGTGAAGTTCTGAAAAGTCCGAAAAATATATAAAAATAAACGTTTATACATGAATCACCCTAAGAACGAAGTTTCTGAAATTCTGAAAAATAATATAAAATAAACGTTTATACAGAAACACCCTAACGAAGTGAAGTTTCTGAAAAGTCTGAAAAATATACATAGCTATATGAACGAGAATTTTTAGATACAGCAACCGTGAAATGTGTGCCAAAAACCTGAAGGTTGGTGATATTGTGGAACGCCATGTTGATAACAATGATATCATATTGTTCAATCGACAACCTTCTCTTCATAAGGTGTCAATTATGTGTCACCGTGTAAGGGTCATGCCAGGAAAGACATTCAGGTGAGTTGGAGGGGGTGGCGATGTTTCGTTCGATTTATGAACGAATTTTCAGATTAAATG